TAAGCATTCGCAAAACGTCCCCCTTGCGAAGCCTCCTCGATCGTCCTGACCTTCTGCCGGTAGACGTCCGATTTCACCAACCCTGTTCTAGTTGTCGACCAAGCTGAATCCCGAAAAGGCCCCCTTTTGTAAAAGCCCCCTTTCAGCTTTGCCGACTTCAGCTGTAGGATGTGAGGCAATCTCGCGGGCGGAGTGTGTGGGATTCAGAGCTGGACCTTGTGCGTACTGCCAGCCTGGGCTGTGGATGGAAGATGAATCCCAACGAGCGGCTTTGTGCCAAACCACACCGTTACTGCTAAATACGATGGTGCCAAGGGGGACCAAGAACACATTGGTGAGCATTGGACCCTGACTTCAAGGACATAAAACCAGGGTTGAGGGTCAAAGCACGCTGCACACAAAATCAACAGATCGAAACAGCACAAGGAGCCTAAAACCCTGAACCCGGAACCTAGCCCAGACTGTAAGTTGGGAGTTGGTTTTCCTGCAAAACCCTGATCCTCGAAGCACCCACAAGCCCCGAAAGCCCCTTGCCTGTGCTTACGAAAAACCCTCAAGGTACAGCAAAATTTCTCAGAGATCTTTCTTTTGCAGCATCGTTCTTAATACGGGTCCAGTATTTCAGAGAGAAGTTGTTTGAAGCTGAGGCACCTGGGCATTCAGGTGGATCTACTCCACTCGAAGTGCGCCGCTCTTGCCGCAGGGCGCGGAAGGCAGGTGGGAGCCAGGGGCTCGACTCGTGCATTGAGTGGCTGAGGCTTCCTTGCTACGGAACCCTACTAAAACTTAATGCGGTCCATGCATGCATGCAAAATCATAACTGCATACATATACATACAAGCATACGTATACACACATGCACGTGCGTGCATGAACTCCTAGCTATATACCGCTACACTGCATTCAGATACATTGCAGAATAGATTGCATGACATGGCATGGCATTGCATGGCATCACGTTTGACCACATCACTTCACTTCGCATCACATTACTGTGCACTATGTTACATCACACTTCGTGGCATTGAATCAGCGACATTACACTGCGTAATCTTGTATCAAATTACACTACAGTACATCACATGTCCACATGTCGGACAGTTATTTGATTGTTTGCTTCACATCACCTTCAATTCACATGACACTAAGTTTACAGTGTTACATGGCTTATAACTCTGTTACATTTCAAGGTTGACATTACAATACCTGTACATACATACATACATACATACATACATACATACATACATACACACATACATACATACATACATAAATACATACATACACATCTTTATACACAAATGTATGCATGTTTGTGTAGACGAAGATAGCTGTACATATGCACATATATATATATA